GACCAACATGAAGAAACCCATTTCTACTAAAAATACAAAATTAGCCAGTTGTGGTGGCACATGCCTGTGATCCCAGCTACTCAGGAGGCTGAGGCAGGAGAATTGCTTCAGGAGGCAGAGGTTGCAGTGAGCCAAGATGGCACCATTGCACTCCAGCCTGGGCAACAAGAGTGAAACTCCAAAACAAACAAACAAAAAAAAACGAAAAGGAAAGGAATTTGTTTTCTGCAAAGAGTTAGGCACCCAGGGAACTCTATATCAAAGATGTTATGTTCCCTATAGTGATCATACTATGGGCAGATATAACAATAGTTAGTGGAAAGTGAGTCAGATATTGGATGCAAATGGTGTTCTTACTTCCTACAACTTGTTATGTTGTACATTTGGTTCAAGTTAGAATCTAGTCTGCAAGACTCTGACAGGGCTTTTCTTGAATAGATTTTGTGTTGTTTTCTTACCTCAATCTCTCCAAATGGCAACTGTGAAGCCCCTAGAAAAATAAGCATCTAGGGGAAACCAGTGTTTAAAGAGTTTGTTTGAAGTGGGTGCCGAAAGACTTATCATGATAAATATTTTATCATGATAAATATTTTAATGCAATGTTTAACAAAATAAAAATAAATGCAAAAAAGCCATTATGAACACAACAACAAAATTCCAAATAAAGATGAGATCTGAACTTGAACTACTCACCTCACGTGCTTCACCCTAGTTCCAGCCATGATGAGGATGATATTCATTAGGTCTTTACTGTGTTCCTGGCAGACTTGCTGGGTTCTGACACTACTCACATGACCGACCTTGAGTAGGTTACTTAACCTTACTCAGCTTCAGTTTTCTTATTAGTAAAAGAGTTATAGTAATGGGATCTACCTTGTAGGGTTGGTGGGAAGATTAAATGAAATTATTTATGTAAAACATTTAGCAGAGTGCCTGGCAAAACTAGGTGATCAGTAAGGATTAGTTACTGTGATTAAGCTCAGAAGGGTTGAGTACCTGGCTCAAGGTTTCACAGATGGTGAGTGGCAGAGCTGGGATACGAACACAATATGTTAAAATAACAGCTGCCCCAAGCAGCTAAGGTATATCCAGGGTGTCCTTGGAGCACAGAAGAACACACTTCTCTTGGCTGGGAGGATCCTGGAGGATTCTGAAAGACTTTCTGAAAGCGCTTGTCAGGCATCATCCTTGTCATCATATGTGCCTAGGTGGCCATTTCAGTTCTGTGAGTTATTACAAGAAATCACTAGAATGCAAGCTTCATGAAGACAGGGGCTTGGCCCTCTTTTGTTCATTTCTGCCTCTCAATACCTACAACAATGCCTGACATATAGTAGAAGCTCAATAAATATTTGTTGAATTGACGAATGAATGAGAATTATTATCTCAAACAAACTCTTTAAACACTGGTTTCCCCTAGATCCTAATTTTTCTAGGGCTTCACAGTTGCCATTTGGAGAGATTGAGGTAAGAAAACAACACAAAATCTATTCAAGAAAAGCCCTGTCAGATTCTTGCAGACTAGATTGTAACTTCAATTTCATGCCCCAGGTGAGTGCCTCTCTTACCTCACTCTAGTCTCAGTATTGTTATTCTAATTCATACTACATTTAAAGAGGGAATTACCTGTTTATTTGTTGGTTGCCCTGGCTAAACTCAGAGACATTTAAAAGTAACCCCCAATTATCCTGTGACCGTGAAGCCTAATAAAGACTTGGGACAGAGTAGATGTTCAATAAATACTTGTTGAACTTCATAATAATTTGAAAAAGATGAATTTCTGTGTAGTGAGAGGAGAAAACTGGGTAAACTGCTAGATCTCCATTAGTCCAATTAGTCCACTGCGTATTATTGTTGGCAGTAATAGAATTAATATTATCTACATATTAACCATAGCTTCAGGTATTGAGTATCTAACAGGGCCAAGTGTTTAGCACACTTTATCTCAGTTTCTCACTACAAAGCTGGAAAGTGAGGCTCAGCAATGTGAAGTCACTCATCCAAGATCACACAACTAATAAGTGACAGTCAGCATTAAGCCCAGGTCACTGGGAGGCCAAACCTGGGCTCTTTCCATCCACTACTTCCCTTTCTATTTCACATCACAGTCAGTCATAGCAGTGTCGTAGAAAAAAACTGGCTTCTTGTCACATGACCAGGAAAGATTAGACATGCAGACACTTTGAAGGGTGAGAGGTTATGGAATTTATTTGGCAAAAAGGAAAACGCTCCTCAGCAAAGTGAGAGGGGTTCCTGTTAATAGGCCCCCATCTCACAAATTGAATCCTAGGTTCCCACACAGTAACAGAAGGGGACAGGCTCCTCCCCACTGTGAGCAGCACAAATTTCCTGAGGGCACAGCTCTCCTTCCAGTGTGCAGACCAGTTGGAGATTCTCTGGGGAGCCATTTTTACTTGGCTGTCTCAGTAATATGAAAAAGGCATGACCATTGATCATGAAGAAGGGAATGGGTCAAGTGAAGAAGATAATAAAGTTATATGAAGAAAAGAAATATATATACCTGCTCACCTAAAGCAGAAGGAGTTCCTGGGCCCTTCTATGTTACTGGGCTATGCCATCTCACCAGTTGCTCTAAGGTTGCCTTGGAGATTCTTCCATGCTGTATGTAGCATGGCCTTGACCTGCATCATCTTGAAAGGATAGATCCAGGGCCTATCTTTGTGTCTCTGATACAGAAGTGAGCTACACATTTGTCTTCCTGACCTGTCTCCTTTCAAGTAAATTTAGTAGTTGGTCTGACCCATTGGCAAGAAATCCACACAGCTGGTCAGTTGGTGATGAGCATCCCAGGCCAGACACAGAGGAGCCAGTGGTTCTCAACAGCTTGTCCTCTGTCCCCCTGTACAGAGGGTCAGCACTAAGTTTCTAAGATCCTAGTCTGATTTCTACCATAAATTATATGTGATGGTGGTATTTTCCAAAGTGTGGTTTTTGAAACATCAGTACTATGTGGAATTTGTGGCGAAATAAGGTTAAACAGGTTTTTCTACCTTAATATTTCTCAGAGACTTCCAAGGCTAATGTGGATGATGTCTCCAAGAGAGGTATATTCAGGGCAGTATTTCTCAAACCTACTTGGCCAGGAATGTCTTCACATGGAGCACCTCTCAAGACTAGCATTTTGAGAGATGCACTTTGGGAAATGGTGTGTTAGAATCTTTTATATATTCTCTCATTAGCAAGTGCCAAGAGGATGAAAACTTGGGAAGTGATTTTTATCAAAATGGTGATGTCCTCTTTTTTTTCCTTTTCTCACTAAAAATGAAAATCATCTAATTAAAGTTTTGAAAACAGAAATATATCACCCTGTTTCACAACTTTAAAATATTCCTTTCTTGTCTTTTCCATATCTATATATCTCCAAATGGATAGCCATGGGTGTATGTATGTGTTAAACCAAAAAGTGTCTTAGACAGGTCTCAATCAATTTAGAAGTTTATTTTGCCGAGGTTAAGGACATGTCCATGACATAGACTCAGGAAGTCCTGAGAACATATGCCCAAGGCGGTTGGGTTACAGCTTGGTTTTATATGTTTTAGGGAGACATAAGACATCAATCAATACATGTACGATGTACACTGGTTCAGTCAGGAAAGGTGGGACAACTTGAAGAGGGGAGTGGCTTCCAGGTCATAGGTGGATTCAAAGATTTCCTGATTGGCAATTAGTTGAAAGAGTTTTTCTAAAGACCTAGAATCAATTGATGGGAATGTCTGCGTTAAGATAAGGGCTTGTGGAGACCAACATTTTTGTTATGCAGAGGAAGCCTCCTGGTAGCAGCAGCCTTCAGAGAGAATAAGTTGTAAATATTTCTTATCAGATTTAAAAAGGTTCCAAGCTCTTAGTTAATCCTCTCCTGGATTAGGAAAAAGACCTGGAAAGGGAAAGGGATTCTCTACAGAATGTAGATTTTCTCCATAAGAGACAGCTTTGCAAGGCCATTTCAAAATATGTCAAATAATTATATTTTGGGATAAAATACTTTTATTTATTTTAGGGCTTGCTATCTGTCATGTTGGTATCTTACTGTTACAAAGAGTCTGCTTTGTCAGTCTTAAGGTCCCTGTTTTAATGTTAATGCTGGTCAACTGAACCAGCATTCCAAAACGGAGGAAGGAATAATGAGGCATGTCCAACTCCCACTTCCCATCAAGGCCTGAACTAGTGTTTCAGGTTAACTTAGGAATGCCCTTGACCAAGAGAAGTTCATTGATTTGGTTGGGGGCTTAGAATTTTATTTTTGGTTTACAGTGTCAAGCACTGTAAACATTTAAATGTAAACATTTAAAATGTTCAAACACTATGCTGCGTGCTTTTCACATGTCATTCATTAATCCTCACACTAACTCTGTGAGGTAGCCACCAAAATCCCCGTGTTAGAGATTAGGAAATTGAGACTCAGAGGGTTTACTTAACTTCCCAAAGTTGTACAGCAAGTGAGTTACTGAATGAGTGTTTAAACACAGTTACTTTCAGATTTCATAGCCTATGGGTTTAAGCACTGAAATGGTGAAATAGTTATTTTCTAACCTGGAAAAACATTTTTATCTTGAATTTACTACCAGGGAGTTTATCTTATCTTGGATCATCGTGCAGCTCAATTCTTTGTTGGATGATAAAAGAACATTCTAGAATTGTTCCCACTTTTTATTTGTCCTTGCCTTCCTTCTCTGACTTTCAGTAAGTGTCACAAGGACTTCACAGCACATAATCCTAAATGCATTGTTTTCTGTTTTATGGCTCTATAATCTCCTCTGTTGTAAATACATTCAGAAATGATTGTGACTTTTCCTTGAAGCCTCAACATTTTTTAGAAAGTGATTTATTTTGATAGCGCTTTAGCCTCATAATTTCAAATATTAAGTTACTTGGTTCAGGTGGTCTTATGTTTTTCCCATAAATGTATTTATGTCACCCCACAGACTGGGAAATTTCATTCCAGGTTTTTTTTCTTCTTTCTTCATTTGATTTTCCTGCAGGAGGAGAACTGAATTCTTTGAACTTGTCAGTAAAGGAGAATATGATTGGAACATCAAAAACCATCGTGATATATTTCGGTAAGAAAAAGCTCTTGTTGATGTGTTTCTTCGTTATTTGGACATTTAGCCATACTTTTCTGACAGTGCTAAGAACATATAAGTGATTTTTAAAGTAACAAATCCTAGCTTACATTTAAAACATTCAGAAATCAGTTGAATAACTAGAGAAATGATTGAGAATGTCTTTTCATCTTATAATTTATTATATTTTTGTCTGTTCTCCAAAAATCTGCCATCAAAATTAGAAAATGAAGTTCAAATCACTTCAGTTTTAGCAAGCCATGATTTATTCTGTTTTCTGGGGAAGTGGGGGTGCAAGTTGGGTGGAGAAAGGATTTTTGCACCCTAGAAATCAGAGTTACACAGCGCAAAGGAAGTGGGGAGCAACTTTTGCTTTTCTTTAAAGACAAAAGGCCTTGTGGCTAGAAAACCAATAAGAACAATATTGGAGGTGGAGATAAAAAGTCTGTTCTAGCCGTTGCCTGGGACAACTTCCAAGGTATCTAGAAAGGACAGCAACAACTATGGGGCACATTTTAACCTCTCTTGCAGCCATTCCAGATAGTAGGCACCATTCCTCTTTCTCTCATACCCCACCCTTCCACTAGCTCCACCTCACACACCCCAGACCTTCTGCTGCCTTATTCCTGTTCTAACATTGCTAGGTTTTGCTGGGACAGCTTGTGAGGCCAGGGTTAGGGCACATTGGATCTGCTCCACAACAAGGCAACTACTGGATCAACCCAAGTGGGAACCTTGACATAGTCTTGCCATATCTGCTATATAAAACCTCTGCCACCATCTTCTGAGCACAGGCCACTGCCTGCCCCACCCTCTGCAGCTGTCCTCATGCCTTTCCTGCAGCACTCTTCCCAGAGGAAGTAATTCTTTCCTCTGTACTTTAATATTCCTCTGTATGATCTTTACAGACCTTTTTCTCCATCTTTCATCTTCAAGACCAGCCCCTCCACTGGTGCCCTAATTCCATTCCCTCCACCTCCCCACCCCCTACCCCAACCTGGCTCTATCAGTCATGCTCCTTTGGCTTCCATTTTCAAAATACGTTTTATTCATCATGACCCTTCTAAACCTAAAAGCACACTCTGCCTCCCCAGTTAAAAAGTCATCCCTACAAGCCGCTTTTTCTCCAGGCCTCGTCACAGTTTCTCCTCCCTGCACTCCCCCACTTCACTCCACACTTCCTAACTTCTTGCAAGGCAATTTCTTTCTTTTTGTATAATTTTCAATTCCACGGTAATTATATGAATATATTTTTCTGTAACAAATCAAAATATTGCTAATAAACCTCCAAATCTCCTTTGAGCTCAACCCCCAATCCCGATACGGGTTGCACAGCTATGTTTTGTTATTAGTGTATTGTGTCTTTCCAAACCATTTCCAGAGTATTCACATACACATGTAGCCTTAGGAAAAATAGTTTAGTGTGTATTTTGATTGTCTATTTTAACATAAATTGTATATTTACATACCAACGTGAACCTGTTTTTCCACTCAACTATATGCCTTGGAATTCTTTCCATGTTTATACCTCATCATCTTTTATTGTTGCACAGTATTCCAAAAGACTGACATACCAGAGTATTTACCCATTCCTTACTGAGGAATTAAGTCTGTAATATGTGATTTCTGCTCCTGTTGAATATCACAGTCACCTTCCAAGTATTAAATGCTACAACCTTTGTTCTCTTCAGCTTCCTGCTCTCTTTATGGCCCCTAATTGAGTTGGCCTCTCTTTTCTTAAAACTCTCTCGAGCCTTGGATTCTGTAAAGCCATACACTTCTGGATTTTCCTTTCTTTCTGATTCTTTCCTTCTTAGGCTTTTTCTAGCCCGTCTTTCCCCACCATCCCCTAAACAGAACTGTCCCCCAAGGGTGTATTTTTTTAATTCTCTTCTCTTTTTCCTCAGCATCCTTATAAGTTTCACTACTATCTCTCCTCAAATGACTCCCAGACCTTTTCTTGGGCTTAGACTCTCTTCCGAGCTCTTTTCCTGAAATGCCAGTTCTCAGTTTCTTGACCTAGATATTTTCCTACAGAGGTTTTCAGACTTTTTTGACAAGGAACCCCATATGGAAGAAATATTTTGTTTGGAAGTGCAGTACAAAAATGGAGAAGCTCCAGGTTCTCCCCTCTCCCCTCATCTGTCCTCCCTCCCCCATTTCATGGTTACACTCTGACCACCTTGCACCAAGGGTGGTGATCTGAAGGAGCACCATCTGTAGAGAATTTTAAAATGGTAATAAAGCCAACTAAAATTCGGTCTGCTTTTTATTATCACCATGTGCCAGCAATTCTGAATAAAGTCAATGATGAGATATACCTCTTAAGAAATGTCTTTTGTTGGTATAAATTCCAAACAATTGCTGAGGTTACTGTTAAGATAAAAATAGTTGATATGAAAGTTTCACATTAGTGTTTTTTATTTATCCTTTCTTTGCACACATAATGTAAGTAAATTCTAAGAATGCCCAGTCATACAGCTGGTTCCTGACAAAGGTGGATGCAGCTACACACTTTCAATAGTAAGTTCCTAACTGTTCGGAACCTCTCAAACTCTCTGGGTGCCGTTTGTGTTTCCAACCTTGCAGAACTTCATATTCCTGCTTTTAAAGAAATAAGCAGGAATATGAAGTATTTTTATACTATATTCAGAATAAACAATGATAGCATAGTGATGGTAAAGATGAAGACACATAATTTGAGATACTTCCATTCTGCCATTTTATGTGATCATTCATGGGTTTTATTCATGTTTAAAATTTAAAACAGTGAAATAAAGTGCAAACTGCAAAGTGTCATATTTTTGTTTGGCAAGTGCAAATTTCAGTCTGTACACAAAATCTTTTTACTCAATTTGAATACATCTTTAACATTAAAATGTGTTCATTTTAAATTGTTTTACAACTACAGAACAAATCAAGAAGATAATGATTGTCACAAGATTATTACTGAAATAATTTTGCCATAGAGAGGAGAGGTATGTTTACTGTAAATTGAACTAGAATTATGGGGACCTCAGACTAAAACAGTTGAAAGAAGTCTCTCTCTGGTCTCTTACTCTCGAAAACATATTTCACTTCTTGAAGAGCCTTAATCTAAAAAATAAGATACAACTGCTCATTTGTTTTCTTCAGTTCTTCTTTTGTAATCTTCCATCCCTGTGCTTCCCTTCCCACTCTCCCTTCCTTGTTTTAGGCTCTTATCAATTTATGTCTCCAATGAGTCTCCTTCCTTCACCCGCTTCTTCAAACCATCCACACATCCACCACCCAATGTTTCCTCCCTAATGGTCTGTCCAGGTCCCTCCTGAGTCCCCACCCTTAGTGTGACTCCCCAGTGCCAGGTGGACAAAGGTTGCAGCCACTCCAGCGGTCCTACCTCCCAGCCTGTCCTATCTCCCTTCTCTGCATGGACTTCCTGCTCCACCACATTTATTGAAGTAGAGATTCTTCTGTCAGACAATGGATTCCAATCCTAGCTTTGACACTCCTAGCTGTACAACCCTGGGCAGGTTACCTAACCTTTCTGAGCATTATTTTTTTGATCTGTAAAGAGGAGATAATAATAGTTTCTCTACCACATATAGAGACTGAGTTAGTCACTCTGTAGAGGCTTCCCAATAAGTAGTAACTATTAGAATTATCATCTGAGCACCTAGCAGATACTCAATAAACTTGATCAACTGATTAATGACAATATGAATTTGAGGAGTAAGTGTCAAATTACCAATCAGATAGAACCTAAATAATTGTCCACATTATGATACAAACAGGCAACCTCACAGAGATTATTTGCTGTGCAGGAGAGATGCTGAGAAATCCAATGCTTTAGCCAGTCTTGTCCTCCTCCAGTACTGACAGTATCCATGTGTAGCAAGAGGGCATCTGGTAGCTTTGTGATAGGCACAGAATCCTGAGTCCTTTACTCACCTTGGGAAGGGAAAGTGATTTAATCTCTGCATGCTTCTGTTTACTTCTTTGTAAAATAAGGATAATAGCAACCACCTCTGAGGTGGTAATGATGATTCATTGATTCATTTAGTTAGTAGTTTAGTTAGCAGTTGGTTAGTAACGCACTTAGTACAGAGACAGACACATGGTAAGTAATGTAGAAATGCCTGATACAGAAGGTCAAAAATGAATAGGCTGATGTGTCTCTCTTTGAGTAGTACTTAACACAGGGATGTTTGGAATTAGATGCTTCATGAATGCTGCACCGGTCAAGAGGGCTGCTGATGCCAGTGTGCCTGGTTGTGCCTTGAATGACCTATTGTTATCTGTGGCTCTGCCTTGTTTCCTGTGGGGGGACCCCCCTGCCATCTAAGCATGCTCTGCCATCTGGACAGCAGACATGTTTCCAAGGTATTAGATCTGGCAGGGTATGAAATGTTAACACCCGACATCAGGACAACCCTCTGACCTTTGGCTACATATCCCTTTCTTTCAAAAGCAGTTAGCCAAGATGTGGTTCCCCAGCTCAGATTCTATGTTATTTTTCATCAATTCTGCTGGTTTTCAGCACAAAGAAAGCAGATTTGGGACAGAGTGTGCCTTATTTTTCCTCCTCCCACCACATTAAATTATATATAAGTACCAGAGCTATCTACAATTTGAATTGTTCCCCATGTTTCCATGGTTTAGTGTGAATTATAGTTAAACCTGCCCCTCAAAACTCTGATTCAGACCATTTCTGTGCTTTCTTATGTGCCCAAATTAATGAAAGCTGGAGCTGAGTATGTTTCTTCTTCATAATGCTTATAAACCATGGTTGGAGCCAGGTAGTAAACTGGAGTAAAACGATACGGCTCTTGCCCGTAAATCTTAGCTCTATAGAGCAGATGAAAATGAAGGAGCCCCTTATGTGGCATGTGCCTTGCCTCTTTGGTGTGGGTTTTCTTTTGTTCCCATCAATCAATGATAGATTGATAAGTAGTTTCATCAGCCATGTATATAGTGTTATATACTGATTCTCTTCCTTATAGTTTACACAAAACCAACAACATTGTCCATTATAAATTATTTTAAGCAGAGCTTGCTTAGCTCAGGTGCAGAGAAAGTAGTGCCTTGCTTTCCTTGATTTGCTGCAGACAAAACAAAAGGGCTACCGGAGGATGTGTGAGAGCTTTGTCTTCCTAAGCAGTGTGGCCACATGATGGAGATGCTGAACACAGGGACTATAAACAGTGCTGCCCCTTGTTGAGGAAAGGAAGATGTGAGCTGGCCTCGTTTCCATTTTATGTTATTTATTTATGTATCTAGGATGGGTTTGTTTAGGAATGCAACAAAAGATTATTCAGGCTGTTTTGTTTGGTTCTGTTTTTCAGATCAATGTTAATGACAGCCTGTGACCTTGGAGCCGTGACCAAACCGTGGGAGATCTCAAGACAGGCAAGTGGTGATTAATGGCAGGGCTCAGCAGAGGAGGGACTGGGGGAGGTAAGAGGGACACAATATTCCCAGAGCCCTGACTACCAGGCACTGAAACCCTAGTCAATTTGCATCAGTATTAACATGGTGTAAAAAATAGCAGGAGGCTTGGGCGCGACATGGTTTATTGCACAGCCTTTTTTTTTATTGTGCTTTCACTGAGCAATAATATTTCTGACTCTAAGATTTTTTTTAATGTGCTAAAGCTGAATAATACATTGACCATTAAGGCAGGAATTTCAAAGATAGGATTTTTGGCAAGATAATCACGTCTTAGCACAGGGTCTTGTTTTTTTAATATCTGAAAATAAAAGGAGACAAAAAGGAAATTATATTTTTCTTTTTAAATATTATTTAGATATCAGAAAGCTCTGTAGTCAAAATGTGAAGTGTCCAATTTAATTTGCAGAAAAACAAACCATGCCTTTACTACCTATCTGATTTCTCTGCCACAAAGCATTAATTCTATAAGAATCGTTTTCAGTTAAATAACTACCCAAATTAAGATCGTGGATTACTGATACTATTTAGAGGTTAATTATTATGTATGTTTTATAATGCACCTACTGTGCGGGGTCCAAAACAGTAACTTGGCATCTAGAGACTTGACATTTTAGAGAAAATAAGATACATTTCCATATCAATAAGTAATTAATATTTATGGACTGCTTTATGTATATTATCTCATTTAATCCTTAAAATTGTAGTCAGCTGAATAATGGCAACCCAAAGATATCAGGTCCTAATCCCCAAAACCTGTAAACATTACCTTCTAATGAAAGAGTATTTTTGCAAATGTGATTACGAATCTCAACTGCAGACTGATCCTGGATTATCCAAGTGTGCCCTAAATCCTATAAGTGTCCTTATAAGAGGGAGCAGAGGGAAATTACACACTCAGAAGACAAGGCAATGCAAAGACAAGGCAGAGATTGCAGGGATGCAGCCACGAGTGAGGGAAAACTAGAAGAGGCAAGAAGCAGATTCTCTCCAAGAGCCTCCAGAGGGAGCACATCCCTGCTGACACCTCGATTTCTGCCCAGTGAACTGATGGAGAACTCCGGCTTCCAGAACTATGAGAGAATACGGTCCCTGTTGTTTTGGCCACTGACTTTGTGGTAATTTACAGCAGCCTTAGGAAACTAATGTAGTTATACCCATTTCATAAATGGGAAAAATGAGGCTTAGAAAAGGTAAGTAGCCTGGGTTTATACAGCTTGTAGGTGGTAGAGCTAGGTATAGATCCTAGCAGGTTAGGCTCCAGAGCTTTCATTCTTAGCAGTGTTTTATGTTTTTCTTTACAGAATGCATTAGTCAGCATTTTTAAATGATGCAAATGTATCCACAGAATAGGCTATGTTATCACTTAACCCAAAATCTCAGTGGCTTTAAACAACAAATTCCCATGAACATGAGCACTTAGGGTTGGCAGGCACCACTTTGTCCTTATTCTGTATTGGGATTGAAGGAGCAGCCAGTACCCGGATCTTTCTGACAGAGGCCCTGGAGGGCTTGCACTGGCAATTAAATACTCCCCACAACAATTCATCGGCCAGAACTTGTCACATGACTCCCCCAACCAGGAAGAACAATCCTTCTATTTGCTCAGAAAGGAGAAAGCCAGAAATAGTGAATGCATGTCTACCAGGGTTTGCCCTTCTCAACACCAAAACTGTGATTCATTCTCCCTCCAGCAGACAAAATATACTCATTCTTCCTCCAAGAAAGATAACCCAAATATATCATCAGTCATTGCATCAAACTCAAAATCTAGGATCTCTGAGCAATACATGCTAATCTTTGAAACAGATCTGGATGCAGATGAAGGACCTACACAAACCCAAAATACAGCATCCAACATACACTCAAAACACAAAATACCCATTATAACACTCCCATTCAGAAGGGGAGGAGATGAGCAACATTCATAGCAATGTGGAGTGGTGAGTGGTCCATGGCAACTCCAAAATCCGGCTGGGCACTAGCTGTGAGGGTGCTCTACCGTGCAGGGGACCCTGGTTCTCTGGGAGATGCTCTCCAGTTCCTTACTTCCCATTACCTTTCAATCCTCCCTGAGAAATTATTGCTTTCTCATCATCCTTCTTAGCTTTATCTGAAGGTCAAGCTGCCTTCTTCTCACCTAAAGAGAGTTGAAGGCCCAACACTTGTTTTGTGTAATCATGAGCTTAGGGTTTCTTTAGCACTAAAACTCTTTTCTTCATTTAGTCATTTTTTTATGTCTTTGATTCTAGTCCTTCCCATTTGCCAATAACCACATCCACATTCTATACAAACATCTTAGATATTCTGTATTTATTTGCTTCTTTACATTTAAGAATCAAGAAATATGGCAAATATATTTCTTTCTCTCTTCTGACTTAATTCCTAGTGCCTTGGGCCTAACAGGCTTCAGTGAGAAAGCCATATAGGTAAATCATTTCTTTGAGCCACTTTTTTCCAGTTAAAAGGATATGCTGCAAACTGCCTAATTCATTCAGTTTCTAACTATAGGTATGTTGGCAGGACCTTTGATTTTATTCTGGTTACAAAGCTGAGTCTTCATCAAACTTCGTCATTCAAAGCATATCACAATTTTCACGTTCATAGTTTGGAATTGAGAAACAACTTTATCTTCCATCCCTACAAGTCCCTGAACTTGTGACTTTTCCCATTCCCTTTCTTTCCTGGTTTTAAGCCTGTTCATTCTTCTCTAAACTTACTTCCTGTAATTCCCAGCAAAATTGTCAATGGCAACCATCACATGCTACCAACATTTTGTTTTCTAATCTCATCTCCGAAGACTGTAAGTTTATTCAGAACATTGTTAGCTTTCAGTTATAATTGTACAAATTATTTTGCCATGGATTCTTATCCTTATAGCCTCCTCACTCTCTGATACCTGGCCCGCAAGCTGATGACACATATTTTAGGGTCCTTTTCTCTTTCTCTTCCTTTCTCTTTTAACAGCAGCGCCTCACTTCCATACCAATTTTTGTATTAGTCAATGCTACGCTAGGCTTTGGTTCAGTAAGAAACATATTCTGAAATTTTAGCTGTTCAACACAAATAAAGGTTTATTGCCTGCTAACATTGTCTAATGAAGATCAGGCAGTTTTCCTATATAATATTCCACCAATTGTGCTTTGGTTTAAATTTCAGTATGACATATTGGAAGTTGCAAAAAGTCACATAAAGCAGCATAATTGTGAAGAATCTGTGTGGTTGACTAGCTTCCTTCCACATGTCTTCCCACTGTTTATCCTACCCTATCCCCTGCCGACTGTGGGAAGGCCTCCCTTCTGGGAGAGTTGGAGAGTAGACTGCAGGGAAGAGGTCTCGGAGGCTCTTCCAGGTATTAGGGGAAAGTGTAGTACTGGGGGAGGCTGCTTATATCGGGTTGGAAGGAGGTGGGGAGTGTGAGGAAGTTAGGAGGACTGAGAGCAGACCAGAAAGGGAGTAAGGTGAGGTATGATGTGCCAGCACCTTCAGAAACCCCAGTGAAATGCGTGTCAAGAACTGAGGGAGCAGTAGCCCCTGGGGACAAGAAAGTGATAGGGCAAAGTACTTGCAAGGAAAAAAAATTCTGCCTTAATATTTTAGACCAACTTGGGAGGCCCAATAGCTGCTTGTAGGTGGTCTTCTCAGTCACGAGTATAAATATTATTTTATTTTCTGGATGTGGGGTTCTGTTGACAAGTGCAGAAACCTAAGAGTTCAGGGAAATAAAATACAAAACCATGTTTTTCCAAATGTTTCCATCAAAAAGCTTGTCACAGTTCTAAACTAGCAATCTCATTCTTGTTTGTGTCCAAATTGATGGGTTAAATTTTTTAATGCTCACTTCAAAATTTTAGGAAACATTGGACAAAACATTTGAACAAAATATTTTTAAAAATATTTCTCTAACTTCCTGGATGTTGATTTTTTAAAATTCCCTTTCAAAATGTTTTCTACTGGGGTCTATTTCATTTCCTTTCTTGCAAACAAGACTCTAAACATGTGGGTTTCCCCAGTGATTCCCCCAAGGCCTGATTAGCATCTCAATTTCCTTCTTTAATAAAAAATTCAATCAGGAACAACTTAATGTTCCTGATTGGGTTTTTAAATACAAACAAAGCAGTTATGCAAGCTAAGTTGTGAAAGGAGCACTGGGGAGATACCAAGGACCACTTGAGAAAGAGCAATGACAGAATTTTGTTTTAATTTCTTTGCCTTCCAGGGGCTACAGACCTATGCAGGACTCCCACCTTGAAGTGCCTGATGTGCACATTTACATTCTTTAATGCAAAAGACCTAGCTCAGAGCAACCTGAGGGAGAGTTCTGGGAACTGAATAAATAAGGCCATACCCTTAGGGGACCATTTCTTCTTCAAAGGAAAGCCAGAGAAAGAAGAGAGAAGCCTGGTGTGCTGAAATGCAGGGTAGCAGGAGAGATTGGAGAGACAAGTGAATTGAATCCAAGAAAACAGGCACATATACAAGTGAGCCAGAGGTTGGGGTAAAGGGATTTTTCAGTCAGTTCCAACTAGTTTTATGCAGTTGAATTCTTGAAAGGGGCCCATGTTTCTTATTAGAAATATTAGAAATCTGAGCTTACTGGATATTTGATTTCTTTATATGTGACTGTACACATGCTACTCTCAGATTTGTGTGTGTGTGTGTGTCTGTGTGTCTGTGCGTGTGTGTTTAATGTTGTGTTTCGGTTTTATCTATGATCTGTGTGGTTGACCAAATCTCTTGAGAGATCAGTGGAGTTAAATTATCTTGATACTATGCACTTCACCAAAATTAAACTGTCTCATCTTTGCCAGGTTTAAGAACCTTATCTTCATAAGAACCTGGCATAGAGAAAAATTAGTTTGGTATCCAGGTCCTCTTGCCATGAAGTTGTATGGGATTTATTCTACTCTTCCAGCATGTTTTAAATCCAGCTAGTTCATCTCAAAAATTTTCTAGATGCACACCATAGTACTGTTGATCAACATTTAATCTGTTATATCAATTTGCTTCCCACAAACTATCCTGAGAAGTGAAGTTGCGGAAAAGAAAAAGGAAATCTGTTTAGCTTGGCAATAATCGGTAGCTGCTGATCACCCAAGCTAATGGATTAAAAGTAGAAAAATATAAGTCTCTATTTCAGGTTTAAGGTAGAACAAGTGTCCCATTGTCCTTGTACCAACTAGACCCTACCATAAATTAACACTTTTAGTGCGTAGATCCAGACAGCCTGAAGACCAAGTCACGCTCTTCAAACTATACCGTGACCTACTGTAAAAGTCTGCTGTGAATAGTGAATCTAGCATTAGTCCTGCCTCTTGATTGATTGCAACAGTAAGAAGCAGAGGATGTGCCCTGGGGTTATCCCTCCCAGAGTGCACACAAATATTGGTAGGGAGGAAGTTGAGGAGTTTTGTGGCAAGATGAAGCTGGGCTAACATAAAAGTATGCAGCAAAATTAAGAATCGACATAGAAACAATCAAAAGTTGGCTAAACTATCATTACATAATATAATGATAATTATACATTATTATTAAATGAATATTTGCTTCACTTTTCTGTATAAGAACTTTTCCCACTTTGAAGCCGGTAATCTGTTGCCTCATCCCAAATATGGAAGCTGTGCTGTGGGAGATTGTTGGCATGCATTTAAAATTACATTGCAGAAGTTCTCCTGATTAAAAGGAAATCAGTTTCATTAAGTTCTGTAACACCTTCAAACATAAAAGGTTAATATACTCACTCCCTCATAAGCTTTTTAAATGATTGTCTGTGTTGATGAGGATCACTAAATACATAAGCAAGAAAGAACTTCTGAGTCTCGTGATAAATTACACATAAGCTTGAATTAAAATATTTATGTTTCAGGTGGCAGAACTTGTAACGAGCGAGTTCTTCGAACAAGGAGATCGAGAGAGATCAGAACTCAAACTTACTCCTTCAGTGAGTTTCATCCTTTAATTATCATGTATTTACCCTTTTGAATGACATTTTCAAAAACAACTCCAAATTACAAGTTGGAAATGGGAAAGACTGAAAATGGGTTTAAGGAAGCACTCCTGAAAGTTTAAAACCTTAATTAAACTTAAATGCTAAACACTCTTATTCCCAGGTTTCTGATTAAGAGTGGTAAGCTACTTAACAAGCATTTCCTGTGCACCCACAGTGGGACAAGTAGGCACGAGGGAGGATGAGCAAAGTGGAATCTGAATAATTCAAAACCCAGTGCTGGCATTTCATGTATGCCTACTTTAGAATAGAAATACTATACAGCAAAAATTAAAGGCAGGCTGTCCAGCTTTGAGAAGCTAGATTTTATTTTCCAGTTTCCAACTTTTCAAAATCCCAAAAGCAAATCATTGCAAATCTCTGATTCTTTCCTTTGTCTGTAAAATGAAAAAGTTTCGCCTGGGGAACTAGGTGCTGATGATTGGAACCCGATTTATATTGGACTCACCTGTTCAATTGTTGCTTAAGTGCTTACTGTAAGCTCAAGATGATGCTGTTTTTAAGCATAAGAATACAGAAGACATAACTGCCTCAGTCACCACCTCAAGGCAGGCAGTGATTAGCTAAAAACATATAACTAACCAATGATTAGCTAAAAGCATAACCTGATGATTAGCTCTTTATTACTAACCAATGATTAGCTAAAAACATAAAACCCAAAGATTAGCTAAAAACATATAACGCAATGATTAGCTAAAAACATAACCCAATGACTCTGAGAGTGGTGCAAAGCATTTTAAAACCTGGCATAGCACGATAGATTCAATGACACCCAAGGAATGTATCTATTATCAAGAATGTCTGTTTGTAAGAACCCAAATTAACTGAGCTTGAACATTTGGAGGTATTTATAAGATCTTCAAATTTTAAGACATCCTTCTTTGCTGGCATTTAAAAACAAGGAAAAGCAAAAGAACTATCTCCTAGTTTGAATAGTTTCACCTGCGTGAAGTCAGAACGCAGTCTTACTAATTTTGACTATTCTTAATCGGTTGCTTATGTACAAAAGGTCAGGAGGCTATATAGGTTGACACACACACACCAGTTATTTGAGTTTTCAAAGCAACACTGACTTAGTTTTCAAAACATCCCTTTTTTTGGTGGTGTTACCAAATTTTGTTATAAAAATAAAAAATATTAGCTTGGGATACATACAGTTAATGTATAAAATCTAGTATGACCCAAATTCTCTCATATCTACTTTCAAATAAAAGCTTTTCCCCCTTTAAAAACTGTTTCAGAGGCATACTCTGAAGGGTTTTTAATGCAGCAATACCACAGGTCATTTAATTAAATGAAAAAAAATATGAGTCAATTGCCAGCACCGGTGAGCTGGCGGTTGCAGTAGCGTAGCACTAAGGAGACTTTATCTGTAGGCTCAGGTAAGGCATTTTCTGCAGACATAAATGAAATTAATTTTGTGGTAGAAACATAGCTGTAAATGCTCCTGTCTTCTCACAAAGACTACAGATCACCACTGATGACCATCTCCTCAGGGAGGCCTGGCTGATGTGGCAGTGTTAGTCGTCCATTCTTTTCCAGAAATATTTGTAAATGCATGCACCCAGAGCTGACACCTGCTGTGCCCATTATCCCTTGATATGTAGGAAGAAAACTGTCCTGGAGCCAGCCTCCTCAGGTATCATGGTCCCAGATGTCATGGGAGTCACTTCATGAAGATAAAGGCTATTCTGCTCACAGCCAGAGGGTCAGAACTGCAAGCAGTGAGTCAGTTAGGAAAGTCTGTCTGAGTGCCCCCATGTGTTGGGCATGAAGCAAGGCACTGTGTATCCAGCAATTAGTAAGACACTACCTTCCCTGCCCTCAAGGACCATGTCAACTGGTGGGGAATGTAGACATGAAATAAATAATTACTAATACTCAGTTTATGAGATGCAAAACGCTGTGAAGCTCAGCACTGTGTGGGGCCTCACACTCATTTTTCTCTCATCAAGCATTGATTAAGAAGTGACTAGTCCAAAAATAAACCCCTTACAATTATGGTCAACTGATTTTCAACATGGGTGCCAAGATAACATCTTTTCAACAATGGCTCAGGGACAACTTTTATCCACAGGCAAAAGAATGAAGTTATTTCACAGCTGTTGATCAGGAAATAAAAAAAAGAAAAGAATGAAATTAGTTCCCTACCTCTCAGCATACCCTGAAATAAACTCAAAATGGATCATACACTTAAATGTAAGGGCTAAAACGATAAAACTAGAAGAAAATATAGGTATAAATCTTCTGGATTGGGGTTATCCATGGTGTCTTAAATATGAAACCAAAAGCAAAGGAGGCAAAAGATAAGATGACCCAGAGATGTTGGTCCAGAGATGTTGAACTGAACTTCATTAAAATTAAATTGGACAGCTAGGAGAGGTGGCTGGTGCCTGTAATTCCAGAACTTTGGGAGGCCAAGGTGGGCTGATCACTTGAGGTCAGGAGTTCGAGGCCAGCCTGGACAACATGGTGAAACCGCAACTCTACTAAAAATACAAAAATTAGCCAGGGGTGGTGGTGGGCACCTGTAATCCCTGCTACTTGGGAGGCTGAGGCAGGAGAATCACTTGAACCCGGGAGGTAGAGGTTGCAGTGAGCCACATTGCACCACTGCACTCCAGCCTGGGCAATAGAGCAAGACTGTCTCAAAAAAAAAAAAAAATTGAACTTTATCAAAATTAAAAACTTTCATGGATCAAAGGACACTATCAAGAAAGTGAAGAGACAACCCATATTACAGGAAAATATTTGCAAATCATATATCTTTTATGGTTCAAGTATCTAGAATACAATATTCTATTGTAACTGAACAATAGAAAGACAGAGAACTCAATTTAAAACATAGGCAAAGGATCTGAACAGACATATCTCCAAAGAAAATATGTAAATGGACACAAAGCACATGAAAAGATGCTCAAAATCATTAGTCATCAGGGAAATGAAACTGAAACCACAATGAGATATCACTTCACAGCCACTAAGATGGCTATAGCAAAAAAGACAGACAATAACAAGTACTGGGTGAGGCTGTGGAAAAACTGGAACCTCATACAATGTAAAATGGTGGAGCTGCTTTGAAAAACAGCTTGTCAGTTCCTCAAAAGCTAAACAGAGTTACCATATGACTTAGAAATTCTACCTCTAGGTATTTCCCCAAAAGAAATGAAAACTTACATCCACACAAAACTTGTATGTGAATGTTCACAGCTATTATTCATAATATCCTGGAAGCAAGTCAAACGTCAATCAACTGATGAACAAATAAATAAAACATCTATACAATGAAATATTATTTGGCAACAAAAATGAAGTACTGATGCATGCTACATGGATAAACCTTGAAAACATTATGCTAAGTGAAAGAAGCCAGTCACAAAAGACCACATATCATAAGATTCAATTTATATGAAAATGTGCAGAATAAGCAAGTGCATAGATACAGAAAATAGATTAGTGGTTGCCTAAGGCTGGGAGTTTGGGAAAAAACAAGACTGACTGCTAATGGTATGTGGTTTCTTTGAGGGTGATAATAATGTTCTATAATTGTAATGATTGTTGCACAACTTTATAAATATATTAAAAATCACTGCATTTTTTAAAAAGTAACTTTCTAATATCCACTAGAAATGGAGTAATTAAATAAATAAAAAATTTTAGATCGAAAAGTGAACTATAGAGAAAATAAGACATAATTCTTTTTTTTTTTTTTTTGAGACGGAGTCTCCCAGGCTGGAGTGCAGTGTCACAATCTTGGCTCATTGTAACCTCTGCCTCCCAGGTTCAAGTTATTCTCCTGCCTTAGCCTCCCAGGTAGCTGAGATTACAGGTGCCCACCACCATGCCTAGCTAATTTTTTGCCTGTGGCAACAGGGTTTTGCCATGTTGGCCAGGCTGGTCTCAAACTCCTGACCTCAAGTGATCCTCCTGGCTTGGCCTCAAAAACTGCTAGAACTACAGGTGTGAACCACTGTGCCCAGCCCAGAATAATATTTTTTAAAGGGATATTTTGTTTATTTATTTATTTTTGAGGCAGAGTCTCACTGTCACCCAGGCTAGAGTGCAATGACGCAATTGTGGCTCATTGCAGCCTCGAGCTCTTGAACTTAAGCAAACTTTTCACCTCAGCCTCCTGAGTAGCTGGGAGTACTGGTGTATGCCACCACAGCTGGCTAATTCTTTTTTTTTTTTTTTTTCTTGTAGAGACAGGGGCCTCACTCTGTTGTCCAGGCTGGTCTTGAACTCTTGAGCTCAAGTGATCCTCCTGCCTCAACCTCCCAAAGTAGGATTACATTCATGAGCCACTGTACCCAGCTCTAAAGAAACATTTTGGACCAAGACTCACATTGTTCACAAGAACTATCCCTCTCTCCAATATATTTTCACAATTTTCTCCAAATTCCAATCTTCTTTCCTGATTTTTCCCATCTCCCACTGCAAGACCATGATGAGAAGACCGGTGGGAATCAGTGGCCATCTCCCCAATTTGGAGATATTTTCCTCAGATTTGGCAGCTAGTGATTTCTGCCCCGTCCACTCCCACTCTTCTTCATACATCTGAAGGATGCAGGATTTTCCAACAACTCTGGACCAAGGGATTGCTTGGCTCCACCCTCATGACCTATAAGGACACCAAAATGATGTGAATGCCACATTTTATATAGAGGAAAGACAAAACTTACTGTATGACATTAAGGGAGGGCAAGTTATAACTAGATAGCCCAGTCTTCTAGATAAGTAAGGGCACAAGGGAGCTTCTCAACCCTGGGCCTAACTCCTTAAGAATGAAGGGAGGGACAGTCTCACTGGCATAGAATTGGCAGTGTTTGTTCAGTGAATTAATTTTAACACTAAAATTCCAATTGATTGTTTCCCTTAAGTCTGCCCAACAGAAAAATGTTATTTATTTTTCTCAAAAATATACCTAAACTATCTCGAACATTATAACATCATAAAGTTTAAGGGCTGAGAATGAAGAGATAATGAGTGCCACCTACCATCATCCATACAATGATAGATAAATATTTAAAAATTATTAATGATAGAACCTTACTGAAAAACATATGTAATTTCCAAATCAACCCCTCACCCTGAAAAATTAATATAAATGGTTTCTATTTAAAATAAAATTGCTTTTAAGTATATTTTCCAATCTGTCCCACTCTATCCCAACCTCTCACTATAGAAATAAAAGCCTGCATTAGTTTTGTGGCAGTAAAACATATTCCTTTCCCCTTGACTTGTACGCAATTCCCAGTGACCTGATGACTTGATTTAGTAGCAGTTACTTATATTTGAAGACAGATTTTTGCCCCAAGAAGTTGCACACTATAAAGTTCAAGTAAATTTGCTTACAAATATCATAAAAAGAGGTAAAAAACATTTTATTTCTATCATAGATAAAGGAAAAGAAAGTACGTGTAAAGATTGATTGTGATTTGTGAAGGGTTCAGTTTGTAAAAAATGGATCATTGCAGCAAAGTGTTTGACAAAGCACCCTGTAAAATACTTTGGTGTAATAAAGCAAAGTTCTCTCCCCACCAACCCCATTCTAGGCTATTTTTGATCGGAACCGGAAAGATGAACTGCCTCGGTTGCAACTCGAGTGGATTGATAGCATCTGCATGCCTTTGTATCAGGTACTTTGATTTGGGAGGGCCTACATGTCCTGACTGAATCAGAAAAGGAAAAGTGTGTACTTTTCAAAAGCACTCATTTTAGGAGACCTTTCCAGGATATGTACATTGCTGGGAGCTCTAGCTGCAGTTTGTCTTTTCTTGGATTTCTGACTGTTCCCTGGCTGGGTAGGAGGCTGCAGACCTGTGTTCTTCGCCTTCTAGGACATAATCTCCATAGGCCTCCACTCCCTCATCTGTAAACCAGGGATAATAATATTTTATTTGCTGTCTCCCAAACTGTGTCCCAAAGAACATAAACATCCAGACATCTTCTAAGAACTATCTGTTCAAAAAAAGCTCACAGGCCCAAGAAACATATTTAAACTTGATCAACTCAATTTTTCAAACATATTTGATCATGGAAATCTTTTCTTTCTTTCTTTTTTTTTTTTTTTTACAAATTTTCTTTATTAATATCATGTGAAACATGAGAATTCCATGAAACATGGTGTTCTGCTCCAACCCCATGGTCTGAGCCGGATGTTTTGTGACATACCTCCCCGTTCAAAATCTGCCTGTCTCTGAGATGCATGCGGTAAATCCCAACCAGTGAATTTTGAGCGAGATGCCCTGATGGTTCCTGCTCTGCTACCTGGTGTGTAGGCCTCTCCTTCTGAAAGGAGAAAAGTATTGCTTTGAATGGTTCACACTCCACTTTTTGAGTAGGATCGGGCTGGCATCAGTTAACACTAACAGTTTAGTGTACATCGGCTTTTAATTCTACTTCTAAGCATTTGCTTTCATTTGTAAAAACCTGGCGAGTTCTTTACCCCCAACCTAGCTCAATCAGATTGAGCTGCTTTTCTAACTTCAAAGTGAGAAACATGCAGGGAAAGCAAAAGCTCTTTAGCTCCTCACCCTATGTAACCCCATTAAAAACGCAGTATTGTTTTTTAAGGACCTCAAAACCATCAAGTTCAAGCTCATCTACCACTTCGTTTTCAGCACTTTTAGGAACTGCTGGGCCCTGTCACAGAACCCTGAAAAAAAGCCAACAAACTTAGAATACTGTCTTGAAGGCGATACGTACTTTTTAATAACTATAACATTACCCATTAAATACATGATACCATAAAATCAGGCAAAGTTTTAAAATAATATATAATTGCTTATTTTGGTTATACATGGAACAAAATGTTCTTTTATTTAATGATGAAAGATTGGGCAAACAAAATAGAAAATAATGTATACTTTATTATAAGGGGATCCTCAACTGTCTTTTCTTCCTGTCTGCTCCTCCCATCCTCAATGTCTCTGAATAGGCGGGGTCCTATGGGCAAAGCCCAACAACTTTTGGGTCAGGTATGTCTTATTTTGTGAAATTGACCTTGACTATACACGTTGAATTATTTTTTAATGTTATTCAGTTTTGTGTACCCACTTAGGCAATAAATGGAATGAATAAATTATTTGTGCAATTACTACATTCTTTTCATTTTGGGTAAAGCTTAGGAGGATGAAGACATGTATTGGAGTGGGAAGCTGATTAAGTTTTGGTACTAGTTTGCAAAGCTATTTTGGAGTGAACTTAAAGTCTCCACACTCTTCCTATGTGATTGGTTAAAGGAAAGGCTGTAAAGGATCCTCATATGGTTTTCCATGTTAATTTCATTGTTTTATTACCGATTCACCATCCTTAGGGCTTATCTTATGCTTCCTATTAAATGCTTTGAAATCTTTAAGTTACATAGGAAGTTACTTGAATTTAAATTGAAAATAGCAGTTTCTAGCATTTAGGGAGTAATATTATCCCTTCACATTACACATCATCCTGGTTTTTCACATCTGTTTTACTTTACTACTTATCTGTGGGTTAGATACCTCTGCTATTTTCAGCTGCAGGTAATTAATGTATAGAATGATTGAGTGATGCTCCCACCAAATTAGAGTTGTGTCCTGCTCACCCATGACCTTTGTTTTGGTGTAGTGAACTTTCTGCTGCCCTGTTCCACCTCTGATGGAAATTTCTTGCACCATTTTTTATTATTTAACCAAATGGGGAGAGGCATGTCCTGCTAAAGGGAATATGGAAGGAGCTATTTACAGAAGCTCATATTCATACTTGCTGCTGTATCTTCTCATTTAACAGGGAGTGAAAATCTTGCTCTTTTTGATTCCTTATCATCACTAAGTGAAAAAAGATCTCATTTCATTTGTAAGCTTTTTTTATAAGGCTTTGAAACCAACCATTTTAAGAGCCCTCAAACTAAAACTTTGTAGAGTGATTTTAAGTATCCTCTCTGAGGGTCCTATTTTATTTCATCTTATGCAATGTTCTCCCTTCCCTCCACTATTTAACTGTAGAATCTCACGCAAACTATTGGTGCTTTCAAACTGAAATTGGATTAGTCAGTGGGCAGGAATCACCATTAACGGGAAGACACAACATCTTGAGGAAGTGACAAGCCTGGAAGGTCACTGATGTGACAACATTCACTGAGACAACTCAGTGAAAGGCCAGTTTGGGGTTTTGAACATAAAAATGCAATAATAAGGAGGCTGGGAGGATCAAAGGCAAGTGGGAAGTGTGCAGGTGGTAGGAATCCCTGATGTGATTGGTCTGAAATACAGCATAAGAATTCAGCTTCACTTTACCACGTTGGTCTAGGCATAGGATACCAAGGATTACACATGAGACAAAGCATGTCCCCTCTAACAACCAAGGCCCCAACCCCAAGGTAGGACAAGGTTGGGTGGGCAAGAACCTCATGTAGAGCACAAGGCAAGCAAGCTCATAGAGAGAGCTGGGATCTTCCTGCAGGTGGAAGAGCTTGGAGAGAGTTGGAGTCTAAAGAGGGTGGGGGTTGACCCAGGGCACCCCACAGCCAGAGGCTCCTGGGTAAAGTAGTGGGGCAGAACAGCGAATTTGGCATCCAAGTTTTTCTACTTCATTGACTTTCACTGGGTAGTTCGGTTTTACTTCACGGTTTTAAAAGGGTTGTGCTTGTCAAATATCAAATAAATAAAGCACTTTTCTGTTTGTACTCCTGTTTGCTGAGATTGGCTCATCTCCAAGCAAAGGGTGAAGATTATCACTATTCTCAGGTGCCTGAAGGGCTACTTATTTATGTCCCTAGTTGGCAACCCACACCGCTATATTTCGAATGCCCATTGCATTTAAAATCAGAACTCTTATCTCTGAGATAACTCCAAGTTCCACTCAATTTTTTACTACATTGAGGGAAAACAATAAGGAACTCCCCCTTCTCCAAAATCTATTCATTAGAAAGTTATCTAAGTAATCTTGAGACTAACAGAAAGTCACTGACAGAAAATATATTAAAATATATAAATAAAACAGAAAAAACGATGAGCAGGCCCTCTTTACCATATGTATTGTCAGTGAGAGAGGCTGACTGCTTCAATCTCAAGTGGAGAAAGACAGCATGTCATTGTGGCATTGATTTAGCTCTCCCAACATGCCAGGTGGGTAGGACACACGCACAGAACAGTCCCAGATCGATGGATAGTTATCTAATAAGGATGTAGGCCAGGCTTCCATCCAAGTTCTTGGAATTTGCTCATCTTTTTTAAATCTTCAGACTTTTCCTTAAAGAGAGAGAGAGAGAGAGAGAAGGACAGAGAGAGAGAGAGAAAGAAAGAAAAAATGATCGTTAACAGGATGAAGTCGTGATTAATGGGTGACAGCCTTTTAATCAGGAAGCCAAGAGTGGGCAGGGAACCATCAAAGCACATTCCCCAAGAGAAGACTCAAGCCCTGGTTAGTTAGCTGTGTCCTAGCAGGGTATCTCGAAGGAATACATTGACATCTGATTCCTGTGCTTTCTGCTGTCTTTACACCCTGCTGGGGATCCATTAGCCCTGCTGCTCAACATCTTTGGAGAAAAAAAAAGGAAGAGGGAAGAAAACAAAGACACAATCAAACTTTGAAGTCATTGCCACACCAGCCTTAGGGATAAACAGAAACTTTCATGTCACAGTATCATTCTGAGCTTTTCCCTGCAATAGCAAGCTAAGTTCTGGCTCCTTATTTGCATTCTCAACTCAACCAAATCTCAGTGTACCTAGAATGTCAGTGGTGCAGAGTCATTATAAATCTTTTGTTTGTTAAGGACTGAGGGATTTAATTTTCATTATGCCTATAATCCGATTTTTAACTCATCCTAAACTAGCTTTTGATTTCGGAGTGGAATTTTTCACAGATAATGCAAAAGGACGTGACCTGGCCAGCATCTCGCCAGAATAATTTTCTCTTTCCATTAAGAGTAGGAAAATTTTGGTAAGAGTTGTGCCTTTTTTTTTGAGACGGAGTTTCGCTCTTGTTGCCCACGCTGGAGTGCAATGGCACAATCTCGGCTCACCACAATCTCCAACTCCCAGGTTCAAGCGATTCTCCTATCTCAGCCTCCCGAGTAGTTGGGATAACAGATGCCCGCCACCACGCCTGGCTAATTTTTTTGTATTTTTAGTAGAGACGGAGTTTCACCATGTTGGCCAGGCTGGTCTTGAACTCCTGACTTCAAGTGATCTGCAGGCCTCGGCCTCCCAAAGTGCTGGGATTATAGGTGTGAGCCACCATGCCCAGCCTCTGCCTTCACTTTTAATGGTCATTTTGAAAAATACATTCCACATGATGCAATATTAATATGCTCTCTGGAAAAAAGGGAGAAAAGTTTAAAATATAGTTAAAATAGTAGAGTGGGAGTTAGAAATTAATAAACTAGAAAAGAGGATGTAAGGTGCCACTCCAGGACACTCTCTGGATACTGATGAAAGTACTTTAAAAGCAATCCAGTGTTCCCTAAGAACAACTTCATTATATATTACCAAAAAAAAAAAAAAAAAAAAAACCACACCCAAATCAGTTTCCTGTAAGTGTTTATGACTTTCAGTATTCTTGTGGATGAAAGGAAGAGAGAGTTGGGTCTAGTTTCTTACTTGTCCTTACAAAGCGGGATATATATGGAATGGCATCATATATAATGCAAAAAATATAGGAAGAAAGGAGGAGAGAGGAAGGGAAGGGAGGAATATAGGGAGGGAGAGAGGGAGGGAAAAAGCAAGGAAGGAGGGAAGGAGAAGAGAGGAGGGGAGGGGAGGGGAGGAAAGGGGAAGGGAGGGAAGAAGGAAAGACGGAAGCAAGGAAGGAAGGAAGGAGAACAACTTCCTATATTCTCTATAACTGATCTTTCTGGCTCCACTTTTTCCCAGTGATGGGGAGTAGGGTGGTAGCAGTATTCAGGGACTACTATTTAAACTTGACTATTAAAGTATTTCAATGTCTTCTGGTTAAAGCAGGTCTTTGGAGGGAGTAAATTTTGAATTGCTCCCAATCAGACCTCTTTCTCTTCCCCAGCTGACATCTAGGAACCAAAGAACTCACCTATGGTTGTGACGATTTTGTCACCTTTGGGAGAAGAACCCCTGGTACACATCCTGCCTGCTGAGTCTTTCTGGGTTCACTGAGAGGTGGCTGGTAGTGATTCTGGCTGTGATGCTGTGCCAGCCCCGTGTGACTATGGCGTGGGTGTGATGAGCACATTGTGCTGGCTCTGGCCACTAGGTCTGACTGCTTAAGTCTGTGGTCCTTGTGGCAGCATCTTATTAAGAAGCCTCCTCCACCACCGCCAGCAGCTTCCTGGCCAGTTCTAGCTGACTGGATCTCTTGACATTTGCTCAGTCGCCTCATGGCACCCATGAACTCCCAACTACTTTCTCCTCACCCTGCTGTCCACACAACTTCCCAAGTCTTTTCTAATATGCTACCTGGGTGGTGCCAACTTGCTTTAGGAAAATTCTATTATTTTCCTGAATTAGGCTCTGAAATTTGAAATATAAGCCCTCCCCTCACCTTTAGGGTTTAATCCCCCAAGGAATGTGAAGCCAGGACTACTCATTTCTGATCTCCCTTTCTCTCACCCCCCTCTTTCTGCCTCTCTCTCCCCTCTGTCTTTCTCCTCTCTTCTCTCTCCCTGCCCCTCTCCCTACTCCCCCTCTTCTCTAACATTTCCATTTACTTTGCTTTGCCTGTTGAGAACTATCCTTATATGGTCTCCTCTGTGTTCTTCTTTCTAGAGCTTTGTAGTAAAACCTGAAGATCTAACTTAGACAGGCTTGGTTCTTAATAGGGAAAAGAGATTTTTGAAATGTAGAAAGCCCCTTCACCATGCAAAGCTACTTGTAGGGTTATTCTCTTTCAGAGCTGAATGATAGCAGCTTGTTTCTAGCTGGGAACTGCCATTTGCCTTACGGAGGGAAGTCTACTGAGATAATGGGAGAAGAGCCCCAGGCATCACCATTTAAACAGAATGGAAAATGTACTGGATACTATTCTCAAAATATTGTCCTTGTTACGTAATAATGTACCCAAATCCGATTCCTGATAGATAGTAAAGGCTGTTTATCTCAGAAAATATTCTATGTGTTATTAGTCAAATATGAATAGAAGAGAAACATTAATATTCAAAAGTATTGGTTTTATGTAATTTATAGGCCCCTCTGCTACAGTCTACCTTCCAAATTTTTTACAAAATGATCCATTTTATAAAAATCTGATCACAGCATCTTCCTTCTTTAAAGACCTCAAGTTACGATCACCATCTGTAAGATATCTTACAGAGTCCTTGGTTTAGCATTCAGAAACCCCCTCATTCATTCTGAAGCCCACCCCTATTCCTTGGCCTCATCTCCTGTCACCCTGCCCACTTTCTCGCCAGATACCCTTTGCCCCAAGCACAGGACTCACTAGCGCTTTGGTCTATCCTCCCTGGCCTCTCCCCATGCCTCCTTGCTCTCTTATCTGCCTGGAAGACACCCACCCGAGCTGTCACTTCTGTAAAACCTCTGCTTCCCCACAACATTCCATGGCACTGTTTCCACCTCTTTATAACCAAACACTCTGTATGTGATTATCTTTCTGTCTCTTCCCCATTAGACTGGTTTCCTGGAGCCACCATATTCCTGGGACCTAGCATAGTGCTAGCACATTAGAGCTGTTCAGCCAATGTTTGTTGAGCAAAGGAATGAAGAAACAGACAAGTGAATGATGGGATGCAGTATAAGCAGTGGAATGTATGAAGCATGTAATGCCATGTAGTTACCACCTAGAAATAGAGTCATGTGTTGCTTAACAATGGGGATACATTCTGAAAAATGCATCTTTGGCAATTCCATCATGCAAACATCAGAGTGTACTTACACAAACCTATATGGTACAACCTACTACACATCTAGGCTATGTGGAATAGCCTGTTGCTCCCAGACTACAAACCTGTACAGCATTTGACTGTACTGAATACTGTAAGCAGTTGTATCACAATGGTAAATATTTGTGCATCCAAACATATTTAAACATAGCAAAGGTACAGTAGAAATATGGTATTATAATCTTATGGGGCCATGGTTGTATATGTGGTCCATCATTGACTGAAATGCCATTATGAGGCACATGACTATATAAAATCTTTCATCAGCATGTACACTGTTATATTCCTGCCCATAAGCTGGAGTATATGGCCTATAATATATTTTTAGAAAGTGGTTTCATTCTCATGATAGTTGAATGCTACTGTAAAGGACCAGTTAATAACCATGAATTTTTCAGAGCTTTGACTTTTTCAGCTAAGAAATACATTAAATTTTCTTTTATCCAACATTGTCAGAAAATATAGTCCTCTAGTTATTTTAATATTCAAATTAAGAGATGGAGCTAGCATATATCATAGGTAGATTTCAATAAATTTATACTGTATATTGCATACATATGATTTCAAGAAGTTATAATGCAATAAAATATACTAAATTTATCCTGATTAAAATTTAATCTTTCTATGACTTGGAAAACTCTTAGGATCCTCCAGTGTCTAACAGTAATCAGTACAAACATCAACTAAGAATATGCTCCATTCTTAGCCAGGCATGGTGGTCTCTACCTATAGTGCCAGCTACTTGGGAGTCTGAGGTGGGAGGATTGCTTGAGCACAGGAGTTCGAGGCTGCAGTGAGCTATGATTGCACTACTGTGCTCCAGCCTGGTGACAGAGCAAAATCCCATCTCTTTAAAACAAAGAAAGAAAGAAAAAGAAAAAAAGAATGTGCTGGGTAGGAAGAAGTTCTGAGTAGCAAAGAGGGCTCATTAACAGAGTAGTTAAGTTCCTGTTCCTTCCAACATCATGCATAATTGGCAGGTGAAGGCATCTCATACCCTTCGCTATATCTCAAAGTTCTTCCAGAATACCTAATGTTTTTCACCTCCAAAAAGGAGTCTGACCTGATAAACAACCAGCTCTATGTATATTTTTTGGTAAATAAAATGGACTTTGTTTTATTTTATGCAACTTTGAAAAAAAACTAATTTATATGTTACTATTAATCTATTCTTATTCATATGTATTTTATGAGCTCAAACAGTGCCATGAATCCATATCAAAATGCTGGAATCCAATGGAAAAATACAATATACCTACTAATAAGGTTTTTGAGAACAGATTTACGATAAGATCTTAATTCTTATCTTAAATTCTCCTTATCCAGCTGACCAACATACATAATTCTTTTTAAAAGCATTTCTGCTTTGGAATCATG